GCCTGTATTCTCAGCTACTCCAGAGGCTGAGACAAGAGGATCCCTTGAGCCTAAGTGTTTGAGGTTGCTGTGAGCTAAGAGGCACATAATGACAGAGCAACAGAAAGACTCTGTTCAAGAACAAAAAAAGGTCTGCAATTTCCAAATGGGAAAGAGAGGAAGAGAAAGGAAGAAAGAAGGAAAGTAGGAGAGAAAGAAAGGGGGAAGGAGAGGAAAGGGAAAGGGAAGAATGGAAGAAGAGCAGGAGAGAGAAGGAGAGAGAATGGGAATGAGAGGGGATGGAAAAAAGGAAAGAAAAAAGTCAAGGCAAATAATAAAACAAGAATGTTAATCATTAATGAATCTAGGTGAAAGGTATATGGGTATATGGGTGTTCAATGCACTATCTTCCAAGGTTCCTGTAGATTTGAAAAGGAAAAAAAAAAGAATAAAAAGGAAAACAAAATACCACACCACCCCTCACCTAGCTAGGAGTGATTTTCTCCCTTTCACTCTTCTAACACTTAGCAATGTCACTCAAATAATTAGAGATCACCTCTGAGAATGTGTCTTTTTTCCCATGAGCTTCTGAAATGTAAAAACGTTTTTCAATTCTTTGCCACCTTCTGCACAGCTAGCATGTGGCCCAGCACACAGTGGGCAGTGGCAAGTATGAGTTGGAAGTGAGTCTGGCTGAGAGATGTGAGATGTGAGGTATTCACCGATGAGGCTGGCAACTGCAGAGCCAGGGCCTGAAACTGCAGCATCAGTTCTTTTTTTTTTTTTTTTTATTGAGACAGAGTCTCACTTTACTGCCTTGGTAGAGTGCTGTGGTGTCACAGCTCACAGCAACTTCTGCCTCAGCCTCCTGAGTAGCTGGGACTACAGGCACCTGCCACAATGCCCAGCTATTTTTTTGTTGCAGTTTAGCCGGGGCTGGGTTTGAACCCACCACCTTTGATATATGGGGCTGGCGCCCTACTCACTGAGCCCTGCAGCATCAGTTCTGATGAAAGGCATGACAGGTCCTCTTGGCTGCCCAGGTTAGGTCTAGCGGAGAATTACCCATGCCTGCAGCCAGGTCTTTCTAGTGGGACTAATGAATGGAACTGGAGTCTGAGAGTCCTGTTAGAAACTATGTAAATGGTTTTCAGGTCGATACTTTGTATACTACAAAGCAATAGAAAAGTAAAGTGCTCTCATAATCCTTTCTCTTTCTTTTTTGAGACAGAGCCTCAAGCTGTCACCCTGGGTAGAGTGCTGTGGCATCACAGCTCACAACAACCTCAAACTCCTGGCCTTAGGCAATTCTCTTACCTCAGCCTCCCAAGTAGCTGGGACTACAGGTGCCTGCCACAACACCTAGCCATTTTTTGGTTGTAGTTGTCATTGTTGTTTGGCAGGCCCAGGCTGGATTCAAACCTGCCAGCTCTGGTGTATGTGGCTTACGCTTTAGCTGCTTGAGCTACAGGTGCCCAGCGAACCCTTTCTCTTTTAATTCTTACAATGACCCTAAGGGATCATGTTACAGTATCTTCATCTGACAGATGAGGAAACAGGCTCAGAGAAGCAAAGTGAACTTCTCTAAGGTCACACAAGAGGAAATGGATTCAATCCCATGTCTTTAAGACTAAAATTCAAAACCATGCTGCCTTTTCTGTGGTCTGACTCCTAACCAAATAGCAGAAAGATACACTTACCTGGTTCATTATTGGTCGGGACTACATTTCCCCACACTGTGAGATCACCACAGGCAGCTTGGGCTTATTGTTGGGGCCTGTGGGAACATTCTAGGAGAGAAAGCACAGCAGAGATTTACCCACTCAGGTGCTTACTTGTTCTCTCATGGAACCTTCCTTTACTGATGTCTCTTAGCCCTGTGCCAAGAACCCAGGACTCAAGACTGATGTGCAAGTTCAGATCTTGGTAGATAGATGAGGAACATGACACAGAGCACAGAGAAAATGCAAAGCACTTAGAAAACCGCAAACTGATCGTATATAATAATACAATAAGTGTGTAAGGCAGAGTTGGATAAAGGGTAGATGAAGCAACTAAATTGCTGTGTACTGAAGTCAGGGAAGGATTCGCAGAAGAGGGAACATTTGATCTAGGTTTGAAGGGATGAATGGGATCCCACTAGGAGGAAAAGAAAAAGGAGCATTCCAGGCAAAAGAAACAGCATACTCATTCTCAACTATTATCTCTTACTAACTTTAGCAACTAACTTTCTCTCCTCAGAGGCAGGAAAGAGCAAGAAGCAGGGATATGTATGGCATATTTGTTTATTTATTTATTTTTGAGACAGAGTTTTATACTATGTCTCCCCTTGGTAGAGTGCTATGGCATCATAGCTCACAGCAACCTCAAACTCTTGGGCTCAGGTGATTCACTTTCCCCAGCCTCCCAAGTAGCTAGGACTACAGGTGCCTGCCACAATGCCCAATTGTAGTTGTCGTTGTTTAGCAGGCCTGGGTCAGGCTCGAACATGCCAGCTCTGGCTGGTATACGTGGCTGGCACCGTAACCACTGAGCTACAGGTGCTGAGCCATATGGCATATTTATTTATTTATTTATTTATTTATTTTTTGAGACAGAGCCTCAAGCTATCCCCCTGGGCAGAGTGCCATGGCATTACAGCTCACAGCAACCTCCAACTCCTGGGCTCAAGCGAGTCTCCTGCCTCCGCCTCCCAAGTAGCTGGGACCACAGGCGCCCGCCACAACGCCCGGCTATTTTTTTTGGTTGCAGCTGTCATTGTTGTTTGGCGGGTCCGGGCTGGGGATTCGAACCTGCCACCTTAGGTGTACGTGGCTGGCGCCTTAGCCGGTTGAGCTATGGGCGCCAAGCCCATATGGCATATTTAAAGAAGAGCTAGCAGCCTGATGTGATTGGAATGTGGAAGACAGCAATGGCATGAGAAGGGTCCAGGGAGAGGTATGCAGGTCTCAGATCATGAAGGATCTTGAATGCAATGCTGAGAACTTTATCAAGCAGACTATAGGGTCATCAGAGGCCAAACTTCAGTGTAGGCCTGAAGGGCTAACTTATGGGCCCAAGAAAACATGGGAGCAGGTGGTCCCTCCACCTGTGAAACTGGAGGCAATGAAGACTGGGCCTAACAAACTGGAGCCCCTCTCTGCCTCAATACTAGTTAGACAGGACCAGGCCAGAATGGCTGAGGAGGAAGAAATCTAAGCAGGACTTACCTCAATCTTTCTCATCACTAGAAGTCCATCAATGATTTTTCCTATAGGAAGAGTATGAGCTGGACTTTATTCTTCTTATTTGCAGAGCATTTTCCAGCTTCCAGTGCCCACCCATTCTTAGCTGTTATCTCATTAGACCCTTTTACTAACTTTGGGAAACTGAAATTCAGGTCACAGGTCATAAGTAGCAGAGTTAGGGCCTGAACCTTGAAGAGATTCCAAAGCCCCACTGTTACATGTTGCCTCTGTGGCATTTCTTTAGTGTTAGCATCTGGGTCCCTCAACCCCAAAAACTTATTAGCCAAGTGGTTCTATACTGTATCAGATGGCCCCTCTGTGCTTCCCTTCAGGTCTCTAACCACACATTCCCCACCTCTCCACCATTTCCACTTGCCCGACTACTACAAACAGCAGTATATCTATTGAGCATGCTGGGTAAAGAGTTCGAGGACTGTTTCTCTGGAAGTCCCACCCTGGATGACTGAGGCCTGGATAATGGGTAGGAGCAGGACTTACCAAACACTACATGCTTTCCATCCAGCCAATCGCACTTAGAGCAGGTGATAAAGAATTGACAGCCATTTGTACTGGGACCACTGTTTGCCTGATAAAAATCAAATATACCTACAGTAAGTTTCCCTGGCCTTTTAAGTGAAGGGCAAGATTCCCAGGAAGAGCGTGGAACCTAATTCACCCATCCTTTCTTTCAGCAGACCTAACTGAGCACCTATGAGTCTTGGCCTAAGCTAGGATCCAAGCACACAGAAATGGACAGGACACACAACCCCTGCCTTCAAGGAGCTGGATTCTCTAATAAATATAAGTTTCTCCTCCACTCTGAATTTTTATAATGGGAACAGTGTTTATGGGACATAACTTGCTATAGTTGGTCTAAAATTAAAACTAGATTATAGTTGCCAATTAGCTACTAGTTGAGAAAAGGCCTGCTGCCTTTTGTGTATATGCAATAAGCTGTTTTGTCTGAATGGCAATGTAGGTGTTCTAACAATAATAATTTAAAAAATTTAAGATGATGGCTAGGCATGGTGGTTCCTATCTATAATCCTCACACTCTGGGAGGCCGAGGCGAGAGGATCACTTGAGCTCAGGAGTTCGAGACAAGCCTGAGCAACAAAGAGTGAGATCTTGTCTCTATTCTTATAAAAATAGAAAAAATTAGCTGGGCATGGTGGCACATGCCTATAGTCCCAGCTACTGGAGATGCTGAGGCAGGAGGAGTTTGAGTTTGCTATAAGCTGTGATGACACCACTGCATGCTAGCGAGGGCAATAGAATGAGGCTAAAAAAAAAAAAATTAAGAAAGTTTAAGAAGCTGGGCCTTCGCCTATAATCCTAGCACCCTGGGAGGCCAAGGTAAGTGGAGTGCCTGAGCTCACAGGTTCAAGACCAACCTGAGCCAGAGTGAGACCGCATCTCTAAAAATAGCTGGGTGTTGTGGCAGGCGCCTATAGTCCTAGCTTCTTGGGAGGATGAGGCAACAAGATCACTTGAGCATAAGAGTTTGAGGTTACTGTGAGTTATGATGCAATAGCACTCTACCAAGGGCAACAAAATAAGACTATCTCAAAAAAAAAAAGTATAAGGAGCTACTATGCATGTTCTATTCTGGACAAAGACAACATTTCATCAATGATGTTTGTTTTATAGTTATTCATATTTATAATTATTCCCAAAACCTTTTAATGCAGGAAAAAGTTTTTAAATTGAGAATCTGAAACTCTCTAATCATATTTCTTCCTTTTTCCTTCCTTGAAATTATTTTTACAGCATTATATTTAATAATATATTATGAAAGAAAAGTATACAATAACAATGCCAAGTGATATTTAGCAAATTTTATTTTCATATGAAGTCTACTTTTGTACATTTTATACTGATACCACTAACCTGTAATTAATTTGCTAAACCCAGACCTGAAAAAAGACTTTTCTTTTTTTTAAGAGACGGGGTCTCACTCTGTTGTCTAGGCTGGAGTGCAGTGGCATGATCATAGCTTACTGCAGCCTCAAACTAGACTCAAGGGATCCTCCTGCCTCAGCCTCCCAAGTAGCTGGGACTACAGACACTTATCACAACACCTGGCTAATTTTTTTTTTTACCTTTTGAAGAGATGAGGTCTTGTTATGTTGCCCAGCTGGTCTCAAACTCCTGGCCTCAAGTGATCTTCCTGCCCTGGCCTCTTGATATGCTGAGATTATGGGCCTGAGCCACTGTACCTGGCCTTAAGCCCAGATTTGTTTACATTAAAAAAACCCAAGCTGGCTCAGCGCCTGTGGCTCAAGTGGCTAAGGCATCAGCCACGTACACCTAAGGTGATGGGTTCGAATCCAGCCCGGGCCCGCCAAACAACGACGGCTGCAACCAAAAAATAGCCGGGCGTTGTGGCGGGTGCCTGTGGTCCCAGCTACTGGGGAGGCTGAGGCAGGAGACTCGCTTGAGCTCAGGAGTTGGAGGTTGCTGAGAGCTGTGATGCCACAGCACTCTACCCAGGGGGACAGCTTGAGGCTCTGTCTCAAAAACAAACAAACAAACAAACAAAAAAACCCAAGTTAAGTTTCAGCAGTCACTGCCTTAAAACAGTGTCTGTGTAACCATGTACATATTTTATTGTAGAAGACGGAGAACTGAAAGACTAATATTTTATTACAGTAAATACAAGTATCATAAAATTAATATTACTGAGACAAAACTATATTAGATCCATCACTAGCCTTAATCAAATGCTGTTAGATTTAAGCAGTTTGACTGTGATTAATTGTGAAGGAAAAAAATGTTTATATGAAATACTAGAAATACATTAAAGACAATGTCTAGCCAGGTGTGACCTCTGATTAGGGATTTTATATCATACTTCAGAAACACCCCCATGTAAGTGTTTTTTTTTTTTTTTTTTTTGCATGTATTCAAGAACATGTCATATATAATAGTAAGGGACTACCTCAGCTGGCCAGAGGAGGCCCATGCTTTGGAACAAGTAACAGAACTCCCAAGGACCCAATTCATTCTGTTTATCTTTATTTTTCATTTTTTGTTTTCCTTTTTTCCTGCTCATGTATAATCATTTATTAGCAGGCAGGCACACAAAACAGTCATATATGTTTTTATACCTTGAGGACACTCCCAGCCCTTAGGCACTCATTTGTTCATTCTTTGTGGTAGTTTACCTTATGTGCATGGAATAAACCCTGGAGCCAGGTGACCTAGCTTGAACCCCAGCCCCACCACTGTGTGACCTCAGTTTAGGCATGTAATGTCTCTGTGCCTCAGTTTCATTATTTATTCCTATCTCAAAAGGATGTTGAGAATATCAAAATGAATTAATACATTATTAGGAGCTTATTGAATAAGTATTCAATAAACATCAGCAATTGTTCTGGTTATTACTCAGTCATTCATCAACATGTGCTCAGCAGACTTTCTCTGTTAGGTAATAAGGCCAGTCTCTGCCCTTGAAGAACTCGTGATTTAGTAGAAGATGAAAGCAAAAGCAATAATGCTACAAGGTATGTGACAGCACAGGTTAACCAGTGCCAGCCTGCAGGGGATGGATGTCTGGGGCAGAGACCAGGGCTTCCTTCCATTTTTCTGACTTCTCCATAGAGGCTAACACTGTGACATGAACATGAGGGCTTCTAATGCTCATGGTAAAGACATGAGCCCCACTAAACTGCTGCTTCTGCACCCTTTACCTGCACTGGCCCAGCCTGACTTTCCCAAATGGGGGGTTATTCATCTCACCCTATTATTACTACAACCTCCTAAATGGCATCCTTGCCCCAGACTCTCCATCCCCATCTGCCACTCACACTGCAGTCAGGGTCTTCATTCTAAAACACAGCACTGCTCAACCCTGCTCAGAAATGTGTAGCATGGCTCTCCATAAGGTATAAAAGAAAGTCCACACACCTTGTCCTTATTCTGGCATATAAAGCCTTTCAGGAGTTTTGTCTGCTTGCTTCTCTCATTGTTTCTACCAGCCATTCCTTCCCATATACATTCTATGTTCTCATCACCTTAGTCACATTCTGTTCCCTGAACGTGCTACCTGCTATTTCGTGGCTGTAGATCTTTGCACAGCCTGTTAACTGGACGTGAAGTGCTCTTTTTTACCTCATCTAGTATAGAATTCCTCTAAGAACCCAAATGTCCCCTCCTCTGTGAAGGCTTCTCCAGCAGCATGCCTCATTTCCCTGGGCCCTCACAATCCTTTACATCCACTGAAGGGCCCTTGCCGTAATACAGTGATGGCACATGTTACCCTACACTGGACTGGTTGGTTTACATGTGTGTTTCCCCTGTTCAATGTTAAGTATCACGAGGGCAGGGATAACTTCTGTATTCTTATTCCTTACCATAAGGTGGGAAAAACAGTGGCTTTGAACAAATCTTTACTCAACAAATGCCTGAGCATGTGAGTGGAAGAGTAAACAATGAGTCTTCTGAAGTAAGAGTTGGAGCACTGACAGAGGGCAGTGGGTGATAGAAGTAGGAAATTTAGAGGACTGGAGAATGAGGGAAGCAAAGAGGGTGGAAAAGGAGGAGTGAGGGGTAAGAGGATGTGTGCAGAGGTGGCGTAGATAAAGGGACAAAAGTGAGAAGGGCAGGGTGGCTGTGTGTGGAGTGAGATGTGTGAGTCAGGGAAAGGGTGCTGGGAGCAGTGTGCAAGGAGAAGCCAGTGCACAGCTAGTAGGCAGTGTGAGTGGTCGGGTGTTCTGAGTGAATCATGTCAAGTGGGGGTGATGAGCAGGGGAACACTGGACTTGAAAGCACGACTGGTATACTTTGAGCAGTTAAGTGTGAATGCCCAGCCACACATCCTGTCTCAAACACAGGCTAGGAAGCACAAATCAGAGCTCAGTTTTAGTTTCTCAGCCTGTTAGTGTATCTTGTCTAACAAAAGCAAATCAATCTGAGGAAGGTGGTGGCAGAGGGGAACCCTAGGCTAAGCAAGAGAAGAAAAGCATTTGCTTCCATCCCAAGAGACAGCACTGGGCCTCAAGAAGGACCCAGAAACTAGGTGGCTGTAAGTCTAACCCAAAATCTTGATTGGATCTCACTTACCATGGAAAGCAGGCCTGGAGCAGAGTGTCTAAGTTTAAAATTTTCATCTGCAAATGGCCCCCGGTAAATACTGGCAACTCCAGTACCATCTCCCTGAATAGACAGAAGGGAAGTATTAGTGATTTGGAGTGCCAGCCTCCCTGGAAACCAGAGAAAGACACTGTGGTTGAACCTAAAGCTTAGTTTTTTAAGTCTGCTTTTACTCTTGTTGATCACTTTGGAAGCCACACAGATTTGTCCCTCCCCTGCAATCAAAGCAAGCCTCATACAAGGTGCCTGCAGCCTACAAGTCTACCCAGGGCATCTCACAGATTGAATAGGTCCCAGCTGGGCCTCTAGAAATATAGATTAAGGCACAGCAAAGCAGGGAACAGTAGCAACACATTGATCACAGACATAATCCCTGCCATTCCCAAAGACTCTCATGCCTGTAGTCACATAAAAGTACCCATTTAAGTGACTACCACCCCACTCCCTCAAACTAGAATGGGTAAGCGCCTCTGGTCTGTATAACATGACCCCATTCTCCTGCTCAAAGTTGACTGATACAGGGAAGGATGCCTAATTCACACTGGGCCAACTAGAGTTCCCTCTCTGGGAGTCTAGCAGTGGGAAAGACGCTCTCTTTGAGGTTGAATTTGTATCATGTAAACCTGGAAGCTGGAGGTGACTTTATTCTCCAGGGCGGGCAGGAGAACAGAGAGTACATAGTATACATGTGTAAAGAGCACTACAGAAACAGAGATATATGGAAATACGTATCTGATCATAAATTCTCAATTTTTGCTTATATTAGCTTTATCTGTGTGATCTTTGTGCTCTTCCAATAACCCTGTGGAATACAGATCTTCACCTTCCTCATTTTTAAATTGAGCAAACCAAAGTCTTTTTTTTTTTTTTTTT